ATATTTACTTTTAAGTCCAAGATCCTTTTTTTATTTTTTTAAATTTATTTATTTATTTATATTTTTGGTGCCACTGACAGCTGAGCAAGATTCTTTTTTTAAATGCTAGTTATCACCTGAGCAAATATGGTTGCAACTGTTTGTCTTATCCTATATGTTAATCAGAGAGGGCTTTTTTGTTTTGTTTTATATACAGACTTAGTCCTGAAAATTGTCCCTTTTTGGAAAAAAAAGAGTTACATGAAGTGCACCCTTGGTTTGAATTTTTAGTTCAATGTCGACAAGTTTCTGGTAATTTAACAGGTATGGGTATACTATATTAAACACAAAAACTTTCTTTGGATAAATAACTAGTCTGTTGAATGCTATTAAACTTGCGAACTCTTTAAATAAATTATTTGGCTATCGTCAAATATCTGACTATAATCCAGGTTCATGCTTTACTTAAAGAAGACTAAAATGGTTAGCCTCTTGTCAGCCGTGAGAAGCTAGACCTGGAGTAGAGAGCTTGTGTGGTTATGTCCCCTTTCCCCTCCTCAGCCTTGTGCTCTGTTCTGTTTGGGTTTCTCTTATCCTTCCAGTTTATCATGGACTGAATTCTTACTCTCTGGTAGATTGACACCCCTTTTCTGTGAAGAAGTACTCTGTATTCCACATGGCTGCTTTGAATCTTTTAGTAAGGATCTCCAAATGGAATGAAAGAAAATCCACAGTATGTGTGGGGTGTCCTCTGTAATGGAGCTGCTGATGTAGAGCCTTGCTCTGGTTATAATCAGAAAAGCCCTGTTACTCCTGAGGACTTAGCTGGTGTTATCCCAGAGACACGGGGAAGGGGACAAGCTGAATGACTAAATGAGGCAAAGGATGTCAGCAGCCAGTCTTTCAATTACATGTAATGCTCAGTTTTTCTCCATATGCAGAATTTTTTGCTAATGTGAGTTTTTGGTTTTTGTTTTTGGGTGCTGATTATAAAGTAATGTATGTTTATTGTGGAAAAAAAAAATTAGAAGCCATAGACAACCATTAAGGAGGTAACTGCCATAGGTAGATAGCCTAGGTAGCTAGGAAGATAAGCACCCACAGATAACTGTTAATAATATTTTAATGTATTTTTATCAGTTATCTTCCCTGTGCTTTTTTTTTTTCCCCTAGTCTATATTTCATTAATCCAACAACTATCTATTGAGTTTCTACCTTATGACAGACTATTATAAGTGCTAGAGGATACAAGAAGCATCTGTGTTTTTGTATACTATTTTTTTGTGCGTAATATTAGAACATAAGAATTTTCCCACATTCTTAGAGACAATGATAATTTTAAATGTCTACATAATATTATTATGCCTTTATTTAATTTACTATGCTCTCATTTTTTGGCAATAAGGCTTTTCAATTTTTTCCTATTATAAATAATAGTCTTGAATATATTCGAATGTAAAATTTTTATCCTTGTTTCAGATTATTTCCTTAGTACAGATAGGTTTCTGGATATAAAATTATTGGGTCAAAGGTTGTACATGTTTTGAAGGTTCTTGCTGTAAGGCCAGATTGCTTGCCAAGGGAGTTGTACCACCTTATCCATGAGTCTCTACTCACTCTGACTAGCTCCAGTGCTTGATGATGATTATTTTTTAAAATTATTACTGATTTGATAGATCATATATGGCATCTAATTATTTAATTTGCCTCTCTTAGTTGTGAATTATGTATTCTTATGTGTCAGGCATTTATATTTCCTTCTTTGTAAATTGATTATTTCTTTTGCCCATTTAACTGTTGGAGTCAGTTTGTCCATTTATGTGTTTGGCATTGATTTGTATGAGCTCTTTGTCAAGGACATTAATCATTAGGTTGTCATTTGTTGTGGTTTTTTCCCCCTACTTCATTGTTACCTTTCCATTCTTTTTATTTGAACAGAAGTTTTTGTATAGACAGATCTTTCATTTTTTCCCTTTGTGATGTCTTCCTATTGCTTTTAAACTCAGTCCTTCTTACTGTGGATAGAGTTAAAAATTACTTTTCTTACTCGGAATGTTGTAATTCCTAATTAGTATTTATCCCTCTCAATGAGAAAAACATACTCTTCTCTTTTCCAGATCCCAAACTGATCTTTCAGGCTAGCCTTGCAAATGCTCAGATTTTGATTCCCACCAATCAGGCGAGTGTAAGCAGTATGCTATTGGAAGGACATACCCTCCTGGCCCTTGCTACTACCATGTATGCTCCTGGGGGTGTCAGCCAGGTATGGACAGAATTTTATGGCAAAATTGGACTGATTTTGTGGGGGCTTGCCAGGGTGGGCGACAGGCACCATGCAGTGTCCTGGCCTCACCAGGCCTTAAAAAAAAAAAAAAATTGGACTGATGTTAAATTTAGCAGAAATATCTGTGGACTATCTAGATCTCAGTTGATACTAAAATATAACCACTTTCAAGTATTTCATTAGATTAAAGAGCATAAAACAAGGGTGAATTTAAAATTTTGCTATCATATCTTAAGTTTAAAGGGAGTAGACAAGTTATACAGAGATTCTTTCTTCCCTTTAGTTTGCTTTGTAATATTCCAGGTTTGTTTTCAGGATAGAATGAGGGTCTGATTGCTTCTGATTGCTAAGCGTACTTCAGATCTGTGGCTCGAGCGTTATTCTCTACTATTTGCCCTCTCAGAGAGGTCAAAAGGAAACCGTAATCTTTAGCTACCCATATAAAATTGTGGGCTGGATTTGGTGGCTCACACCTGTAATCCCAGTGCTTTGGAGAGGCCTACGTGGGAGGATTGCTTGAGGCCAGGAGCTCAAGACCAGCAGAGGGAGACCCAGTCTCTTAAAAAAGAAAGAAAGAAATTAGCTGGGCATGGTGGCTACGCCTGTAGTCCCAGCTATTCACTGGATGGGAAGTGAGGCTGAGACAGGAAGATGACTTGAGCCCAGGAATTTCAAGGTTGCAGTGAGCTATGATCATGCCACTGCACTCCAGCCTGGGTGATAGAGCAATACTCCATCTTTAAAAAACAAAAACAAACCAAAAAAACCCCACCTGTATTGAGGGACCTAGTGATGTAGTAGAAATTTGCCCATCTTTCCTTTTTGAAAGTTTAGTGTGCCTGTATAGAGGGAACTTAAGAATGCCATTTGATATCTAATCTTGAAAAGTTTATTACTGATGCTAGCTAGCTTAATTTAATGCCACCTTTTTTAGATTGTTGTAATATACCTTAACTTACATGGTTATTTCTCCTCTATTTTTAATCATCTGTTAGAAATTGAGAGTCACAGAATAACTTCAAAGTTGAGAGGGAAGTCATCTAGTCTAGTCATTTTAAAATCTTTAGAAATAGGCCGGGCACAGTGGCTCATGCCTGTAATCCTCGCATTTTGGGAGGCTGAGGTGGGAGGATCGTTTCAGCTCAGGAGTTCAAAACCAGCCTGAGCAAGAGCGAGACCCCCTCTCTACTAAAAAAAAA